TTATTTTATTAATGTTTTTACGTACTTAATAATTGTGATACTGTTGACATCAGCAGACAACGAGTCTGCATTCAGTCCCTAGCGGTTTACAATAGAAAATATTAATACTTCTTTCGGTTACATTTAAAATATTTTCACTTAACGAGCTGAGGATAAGAGAAATAAAAGCGCACGTACAAACACTAAAAGCAAAAGTTGGTGCAAAGTTGGTTTTGGTCTAACTCTGATTTAGAAGCAGAAAATGTTAACAACTTACATTCTTTTTATGTGTTCTAATATAAACCAACTATAAAAATGTTTCCAAAGGAACTAAGCAACATTCTCTTTTGACTGTAACTTTTAATTGTTTACGTGGAAGAGAATTATGAACCTACTTATTTTCATCTCTATGCAAATACAAGTATCTCTAGTATTTTACAAGCCTTTTTTCATACTGAAATTTCGCTCACAAGGGTTTTTTTTAATTTAAAAGTTAAGTTTTATTTGAAGTTAGACAGCCCTGCCCGGAACGAGCTAGTGAATGCAAATTAATAAGTTGGGCAACACCACTTGAGGGATAAGTCAATACTCGCTCCTTGGCTTGACGGCACGGCAAAGACATTTTTTAAACAAAAACATGTTTTACCATTCTTACTAATATTGTAGTTGTCATTTTTTTTTACTTTTTTTCTTTCTTACGTAGTACATATTCGATTCATCTAGCTCGATGTGTTACCAACTTCCACATTTGGCTGTAACGTGTAGGTTATGATAGGTATTCAGAAGCGATTAATCTATCTTCAGTTAATTAATGTTAATAAGAAATCCTTGGACATTTTACATTTCGCCTGTAGTCCCAAACTAAGCAAAGCTTGTACTATGGGTACTAGAGTACGGATATAAACATATGTGGGTTAGTAGGCGTTTCGCCCGGATGTATCAAAAGTATTAAAAACGGGTGCGAATCGACCCCTTTGGAGAACTAGTAATCGCATACTATAGTTCAAAAAAGAGTTGATGCGCACGCAATTTAATACTTTTATTTTTTACTTTTTTTTTGTAAATACATACATTTATAGGTAGAAAACACCCATACCAATACAAACAAATATATTCATGGACATAAATGTTTGTACTGTGCGGGAATCGAACCCGCGACCTCAGCATAGTCCGTTACGAACCCAAACGAGTCTGTAACCTATAGGTTATTAAGGCTGGGTTGCACCATCTTACTTTAACTTTAACAAAAGTCAAAAATCTGTCAAACTCCATACAAAACCCACCGGTTATCGTCATAGCTACCGTTAAAGTTAGGTGGGGCCACTCAACCTAAGATAAGTCATTCAGCAGCGATAGGTAATCTATCCTCAGGCAATTTATTTACTTGATGTACTCTACCTACTCGTTTTATTGAGCTTAAAGTACAATAATATGCTAATTTTCTTTACTATCTCTATAAATTACGACAAAGGAATATTAACAAAATCGTTTCTTAGATACTTAGATAGTTTTGGGAAAACGTCTTTTCCTTACATTTTTAAAATCTTCCAAGTAATTTAGGACCTATGCCCACCTTTAATATTTTAAGTAATTAGTCTAAGTCTAAAAGAAAATTAAAAAGGATAATACTAACTTTATTCTTCTATGCTAACGTCTTTAAGATCATACCGAGTATGAATAATTCATTTTCATAATCGATTCAATATTATGAAAGTTTGAAACTAATATTTAAACAGGCTGCAACAGGGAAACGGAGCTTTTAAAACTTCGCCGTTATTAAAGGCTACGATCAGTTCGGAACTTTAGTTTTCTTTTTCTCTCAAGATATCTAAGCGTTTCTACTTGAAATAATTGTTATTGGACTATTAAGGATATGTATTTATTTATTTACTAGCTTTTGCCCGCGGCTTCACCTGCGTGAAATTTACTTTGTCACATATCGTCATAAAATAAAGCCTATATGTTATTGTGGGTTATAAACCATAATACTGTAAAGTTTCATCATCCATAAACATCCATAATTTCGCATTTATAATATTAGTAGGATTAATATTAGGGAAACAAACAATTTAATACATAGACATTAATAATAATCACACAAAAAATAGGGCAGAAATATAATCTATACTATCCAATCCATACTAATATTATAAAGCTAATGAGTTTGTTTGCGTGAACGCGCTTATCTCGGAACTAAGTAGGTACTGGTCCGATTTAAAAAAAACTTTTTGTGTTGTTGGATAGCCCATTTATTGAACAAAATATTGCCAAAACAGGAAATATTATTCAAACTATTTTCATGCGTACGAAGTCAGTAGTTTCAGCTAGTTTGAAATAATTTACACTATTCCAATAATGTGTTATTTAATAATCCTAAAAATATTCCATTAAGAGGCCACTTTACGAGCAAGTGTGTGCAAAATTATTTATGATGACACATAAGTGCTTTTGTATGTAACGTCTGAAATAATATAATATTATATTTGCCACAAAACACAAGGAAAAGCTCTTTTTACTATTCTATAAAAAATAATGGGTGAATATCATATAGCCTTCAATATAAGCGGCGAGAGAATTTTCTCAGAACTTCAATTTCATGGGAAATACAACGCCTTGCTATTTATTTGCCAAGGGCCTTCTCACTTTTCTAAAGGATCTCATACACCCGACCACAGAAGTGGTATTCCGGATATAAAACATTCAGAAATAGAATAAAAGGCTGAGTTGCACCACCTAACTTTGACCGTAACTATAACGATAACCGGTGGTTTTTGTATGGAGTTTGACAGATTTTTGACGTTTCTCCAAGTTAAAGTCAGATGGTGCAACCCAGCCTAAAGCCCGTGCTAAAGCTTAACTCAAATGGAAAATATCTATCTATAAGTACCTACCTACCTACTATTAGTTTGTTTGAGTAATTTGTAGATTCATATATGTAAGTTATTCCAGTTTTCTTTATATTATTTGCTTAATTATATTATTATTATGGGCCGATTTTTCAATAGTCAGATATCTTTTAACTAAAGAATAAACTTGTCATTTTGGCATATTTTCCATAGTGAAAATGTCATTGTGCAAAACTTATTCTTCAGTTAAAAATTATCCGACGATTAAATCAGCCCTAATTTAAATAAAACACCAGCACTTTCCAAACATCATTTATTCAATTTCAAACAATTTTAACGAATTTCTACATGATACGAATCTGGACTGTTATAAAAGTAAATTTTAATACTACTTACTACTCTAGTAGGTATTCTGTAGTCATTATATCCTCTTGNATATCCTCAACTAACAGTGCGTAAACTGGCATCACCGTACGTGATACTACATATGTAGTTCTTATTTCTAATCTCGAGGACAAAGCACGAGCATAATTACTTAAATACTTTTTTTTGTAAATACTTACATATTAGGTATAGGTAGAAAACACCCATAACAATACAAATAAATAAGAAGATTAAAAAGGATAATACTAACTTTATTCTTCTATGCTAACGTCTTTAAGATCATACCGAGTATGAATAATTTATTTTCATAATCGATTCAATATTATGAAAGTTTGAAACTAATATTTAAACAGGCTGCAACAGGGAAACGGAGCTTTTAAAACTTCGCCGTTATTAAAGGCTACGATCAGTTCAGAACTTTCTTTTTCTTTTTCTTTCTAGATATATCTCTTAAGCGCTTCTACTTGAAATAATTCTACCAAAATGTTATTGGACTACTAAGGATATGATTTATTTATTTATTAATATTAGGGAAACAATCAATTTTGATACACAGACAAATAATCTCAAGAACTAGATCATCATTTCAGCCATAGGACGTCCACTGCTGAACATAGGCCTCCCTCAATGCTTTTCACGTTGTTCGATTGTTAGCGGCCTGCGTCCAGCGCTTCCCTGCTACCTTTACGATGTCGTCGGTCCACCTTGTAGGTGGACGTCTCACGCTGCGTTTTCCGGTACGCGGCCTCCATTCCAGAACCTTGCTGCCCCATCGGCCGTCAGTTCTATCCGTCGTACTATGTGCCGCCGTGCCCATTGCCACTTGCTAATCCGTCGGGCTATGTATGCGACTTTAGTTCGTTTACGGATCTCCTCATTTCTGAAGAAACACCAAGCATAGCCCTCTCCATAGCACGCTGTGCAACTTTGAGCTTCTGTATAAGGCCTATAGTGAGAGGCCACATTTCCGAGCCATAAGTTATCACTAGTAACACACATTGGTTGAAGACTTTCGTCTTCAGGCACTGAGGTATTTTGGACGAAATATTGTGTTGTTGGCTTAGATTAATAAAGCATTGTTGGATAGCCCATTTATTGAAGAAAATGTTGCCAAAATTGAAAATATTATTCAAACTATTTTCACGCGTACGAAGTCCCGAGCACAGCTAGTTTGGAATAATTTATACACTATTTAAATAATGCGATATTGAATAATCCTAATAAACCTAAAAATATTCCATTAAAAGGCCACTTTATGAGCAAGTGCGAGCAAAATTATTTATGATGACACTTAAGTGCTTTTGTATGAAACGGGTGAAATATTATTATTTTATTAGCCACAAAACACACAAGGAAAAGCTCTTTTTACTATTCTATAAAAAATAATGGGTGAATATCATGTAGCCTTCAATAAAAGCGGCGAGAGAATTTTTCTCAGAACATCAATTTCATGGGGAATACAACGCCTTGCTATTTGTAAAGGGCCTTCTCACTTTTCTAAAGGATCTCATACGCCCGACCACAGAAGTGGTATTCCGGATATAAAACATTCAGAAATAGAATGAAGCTTAGCTCGAATGGAGAATATCTAACTATCTATACTATTAGTTTGTTTGAGTAATTATAGATTCAAGTAAGTTATTCCAGTTTTCTTTATATTATTTGCTTAATTATATTATTACTTAAATAAAACACCAGCACTTTCCAAACATCATTTATTCAATTTCAAACAATTTCAACGAATTTCTACATGATACGAATCTGGACTGTTATAAAAGTAAATTGTAATACTACTTACTACTCTATTAGGTATTCTGTAGTCATTATATCCTCTTGATAAAATATCTGGCGAGCAGACTGTATAAACTAAGTCTATTGTTTAATGATTTGGTCCTTAAGTAAGGGGATATCTTATTTATAATGTGATTGCACAAGTCCGTATATTGCGATGACGTCAAACCCAAACACACCAACGCTTGGCGAAAAGCTCTACGAGCCACTAAAGGAATAAGTATATCTTTAACAATTAGAAAACTAACAATCACATGGCGGCCAGCCGCCTTTCGCTAAGAGTCACAATGAGGTTTCCACCTGCACCTTCTTGCGGTTACAGCTGGGAATACACTTTTAAAAATAGAATCTTAAGCCGCGTGCACACGAAAACCTCTTTGTGAATTCAGCCTCACTCGCGCGCAGGTTACCGCAATAGGCGGAGTTGTGTCACTTCGCCTTATTCTACGTCGACAGGAGACCGGGTCGAATGAAATATACTCTTACATAATAAAACTACACTTAAATAACAAATGCGTGCTCACATTGGTAGCGGGACATCTTAGGGTCTTTTTATAGAGGAGTTTAAAAGAGGGATGCAGCCGACTCTCCTCAAAATCTACTTGTGTTCCAGATGTTAAGTAGTTATGCCTACTAGCCAGTAAAAAGTGAATTCAAGTGATACTGTAAACTGAAATGAAATATCAGACTGCCTTGATTCCAGTTGTACATGTGAATAATTTTAAAAGTTCTGAAATTCCGTCAAGTGTATTTTAGTGTAGAGCTGCTAATGACTTTCAGCTCACAAGGTGATTAAGCAAGAAAGTACATTCAGTTAATTTAATTAACAAAGTCAAACAAGGTACTGAGTGTTTATCTGTAGATTAAGAATCCCGCGGCAATGTGCGCACGCGCCGGCGGCGATGCGATGAGATCACTGTTGCTGCTGAGGCGGCGCTAGTCGCGCTGCGAGCAGGAGGATGTCGCGTTTCTCCTTGGGGAACCTGAGCTCTCTTGCAGCGAGCCGGGCCGCGCGGAGTTCCCGTTCAGCGCGGGCGAGTTCGGTTCGGATGACGCCGCCGCCCGCGCCCGAGGCCGCGTCGCGTTCTCTCGCGGCCCACTCGCGAGCCATCTGCTCCCGCATGGCGTCGTCGAGCGCGCGCGCAGAGTAGTGAGCCACCACCTCCTGCCGCGAACACTGGCGCTCGCGCATCGCCCGCAGAGAGCCGTTCCAATGCAGCAGCTGGAACACCGTCATCAGCTCTTGGAACTCGAGCATTGTCCGCCCTTTGTTCGCTTCCAGCATAAATCTGTGGATGGAAGAGTTGGTTGAGAATCTGGGAGTAGTAAGGACTTGCAGCATCTCATGATTCTCATGTATTATGAAACGATACTCAAGCATGAACCTTCAGTGAAATAAATTCGAAGACTTTTAATTGGTTCAAATGTTAAAATTCCTGAGTCTAAATGTCCTAAGCATTGGTTTTAAGTTTGAATGATGATAGAGAAGATCCTTCTATTCATCCGCCACGGTCTTCTCAACGAAGTGCTCGGAAATGCGCCACGACTCGTGTTCGTTGAACACCCAGTTCTATTTGTCTTTATATCTGCCTACTGTTTACTTATTATGCTCACCTGAAGGCAGCGATGCCCGCGCTAGGATCCTGATGGTGCGCGGCGGCATCACCAGCGAAGGATGCGCGCGCCTCCGCCACGGCTTTCTCGATGAAGTGTTCGGAGATACGCCGCGACTCGTGTTCGTTGAACACGCTGTTCATGAGCGCGATCTTCGCAGCGCTGCGGCGCGCTTCGGCCTTCGTGGGGCAGTTCTGTGGGCAAACATAAACTAATGTAACGACATTTTGTTTAGAGTTAAGTTTGCCTTAGTTTTAAAAAAAAATCTGTTTATTGTAAATAAATAATAAAGTTTCACGACACTTATTTTGATAGATCTCGAAGTTACTAGTAAGATACCAATTTACCATTCCCCCAAAGTAACATTCATGATGATAATGACATTTATTTTATAGATTGTAGCGTATACAAAGCTGCTGGGCAAACTAGATTTAGATTACAGTTTTATATAATATAATAATAATAATAATAAATCTTTGGACAATTTCACACAGCGCCAGCTAGCCCCAAAGTAAGCAACTTAATGCTTGTGTTATGGGTGCTAGCTTGACGGATATACTACTTATATACTTTTTTTTTAAATACATAAATATTATACATAGTCACACCCAGACCCGTCACAGAAATTAAAATTCATCATTTCAATTTCTGGCCGGCCGGGAATCGAACCCGGGACCTCTCGGCATAGTAGTCCGTTCTGAACCACTACACCAAACGGCCGACAAAATGAGTATTCTGTAATTGAATTGTTTAAAAATTCACAAAACATACCGATCTAAAAACCGGTCAGAGAGCAAAATTGCTTCCTAATTTCGAGAAATGAAACCCATTTCAAACTCGGGCAAAGGCTTCAGTTCTCTTTCAGGTAGCAACCGTATTTAGCCTCCAAATTCCGCTGCTAATTTCAGTGTAATAAATAACAAATTCTGCGACTATCCGCTCGTGGAACAAATGGTTTCATTAACTTGTTGAATTTAGTTGTGGAAATCGATATATTAATTAAGTCATGGAATCCCTTGTCAGCTGGTTTATGCAAATGACTAACTTGCGATTTTCTACAATAATGCTTTAAATTAAGCGTAATATCTGATTTATTGTGAAAGTTTTCATTCTAGAAATTCTCACAGAACAATCAGTGAAGATTGTTTTAAAAGAACATGTGCAAGATACAACATGGTATAACGTGAACTACTAGTAGGTAATTGATTACGGTACAAAAAGCTTTTAATTACAGAATTTCAATTTAAAGCGGTGAAAATAAGATTTGAATAGCATTAGCGTCATATTTTATCTGAATTACCTCATAAATTCAATTAATCAAGTAAAAATAACTTATTTTACGTCAATTACAATAATTAAATTGTACTTTGTGAGAGAATAGAAAAGCATTCCAATTATGTATTCCATTGTGCGAGCTCGAAATCGAATAAAACGTACACTCGCCGTCCCAATTTGGACAGTTCATAATGATAAAATTGCATAAATCCCAAAATGCCTGATTTAATTTAGCTAACGTGGCGTACATATTCGAGATATATTTTATCCAGCTGCGAGGGACGCCGTGCGAAATGAACTCGGTTGAAAAATTCATTTTTGCAGAACAAAACTGTGTCTTCTGTAACGGAATATAACAGAAAGCTGCACATTATTACTTACACTGTTCTCTGTTGTACCCTCTTGGGTTTTCCTTTCAGATTTTAAATAATAGTCTTTGTTTCAGTTTTACTTGCACATTCTGTGATTGAATAGAAAAAGATATCATTTTATAATTTTTCTAACTTAATACAGAGTAGATCTTAAAGCATTCTCGATTTTAGCTTTGATTTTGGCAGTAGTACTCTCTTTACTTTTGTTTCATATTTTTGATGCTGTTTTGTGTCGCTGAATAAAATATTTCATTTTCATTATTTTTTTCAGTAATTTATAACACTTTTTATATGATATTTTCAGCTGACTCCTTCTAATCGTGAAATTGAATTAATCCCAAAAAGGAACCAAAACAATTTACGAGGTGCGATAACTGGCCTTGAATGAAAGAACCCAATTTCCGGGCGAAGTCAATTTAATAAACTAACTTTTATAAATTGACTGGGAAGGTGAGGTGGGTAAGGCCCCTTGAAATAATTCGTTTTCTAGTACCACGCTTTATGTAATAAAATGAAAATATTTCAACTATTACACAAATTACATAACTCGGATTTGAATTTTTAAGGTAGAGCTTTCTATTTCGACAATCAAATACATATTATATGCGTTTGAATAAACTCGTATACTGTAAGTAAACGTCCATACCGATCATAAATGCTCAAGCCGATCATACTTTCTAAGTCTGCCCTCAACGGGATTCGAACTTCGTACCCTGTGCCACAGCTAGGTACCAAGTGACTAACTACCTCACCAACATTAGTTTCTGCAACTAGGTCAGCCCTCGTTCCCTTATGCAGCAGCATCAATACTTCAAGACGTTCATGTTCCTAATGCAAGCGATATAATTCAGTTCGCTACTTGCAAACATCTACTACGAAACTCTGTTTACGTATAGATGACCCACGCTGAACTGTCCCGCCAAACTCAATGACAGGGGGGCGCTACCATCGTTCAACTATATGGTTTCCAACATGGCAAAAATCTGAACTAGCGATCCGGTATTGACGGTGGCGCCCCACTGTCAATGTCATCGACAGGACAGTCCAGTATTTTGGAACTATAGTGTCGGATCTACCTGTCACCGTCGCTCACGCTTGGATCTCGGTTTGGTGAAAGGGATGGCAATATTCGAAACTTCGGAAAACGTTTTCGGGGTAACCCCGCTAAGTTCGGGCAGCCCAGTCCGCCCCGTGTAGGGTTACCAATTTACTATATCTCAGGATTTTTGGACTGTTCCCAGGATTGCGGCAGGATTTGGTATATCTCAGGATTTTTAGAATTTCTAAAGCAATAGGTACAGTAAATTTTAAAGATAAAATAAAAAAAGTCTTCCTAACTTGAGTAATAAATTGCACAATATTAAAATTAACATATTTATCCAAGTGGCTATGCGTGAGCATGGTCCCCTGAAATCCTCAGTGTATAAAACAATACTAATGCGCCTTTTTTTAAATTTTCACTACGTTTTATAGAAACTTCTCAAACTGCAACAAAATCTCAGGCCTTTTCTCTGGACTTAAGGCTTTTTCATCTGATAACCCTAGCCTCGTGACGTCACACGGCCGCTGCACGCCCGGACTGGACACTAACAATTTCAGCAGTGGGTACTCACTCAAGCTCGTGATTCTGAAATCTCGACGGAAAACTTTATGGGTGAAGCTGTTTTCGCTGTATTCTCCGAAATAAAATGTACTGTTGCTGGTATTCTTGTTACATAAGTAGGTATTATGCTGTTATAAGTAGGATGTAAGGTTGTTATTTTAGTACTAACTAGGTACTAACATGAAATTAAGTACAGTCGCGGAATGAAAAGGTTCGTCAGTTTTCAAATTGATTCCTTCAACGAATCGCGAGCACATATTACCTTTCGAAACTATGTTACAGAATAATCTCGAGTTAGAGAAAAAAATCTTTAACTATTCGTCAGTAATGTTCAAAATTATTCAGATCAAAGTTGTTTGACGATTTATCTTGTCAAGAAGATTATTATGATTGATAAACTTAAACCTTCTTGTTGGTTCAACCTGCCATTATTATTTCTATTAAATAAAAAAAACTACATTTTGTAACATTGCACTGATGGGATAGAAAAATAAACAAGCAAAACCTTATTCGTTAGCAAACGTCATATTTATTTAAATGTTAGCAGCACTGTTTCTTGCACTGTTATGTTGGCAGGTTTGACTCTTACAATATCTAGTGCAAGCGAAAACCGACACTAAGGTGACGAACCTTTTCATTCCGCGACTGTACAATAAAATTAATTTATCCATCAATTTGTCATCATTCATCGTTGAACATGTAGTTGTCGATGTCGTAGCAAAGGATTTGGTCAATAATGAAAGCAGTAATGAAAGCTAGTCGGAGTCAACTATTACGCTTATAGCAGCATGCCATATTTGGAGCAGTAAACGGATAACACCTAGTTGAAAACTTTTCGTAGAGATCTCGACCATACCTGAAGCTTCCAAAGCACGCACCCCCAGGTAGCGAGATGTAGCACACGTAGTCGTCGTTACACATGTGATTGTCGTAGCATATCGTAGGTAGTTGTCGTAGCACGTTTTGGGCAGAAAATAGTATGATCGCTAGTAGGAGTCAACTCCTGATGATATTAGCGGTATATAAACGATCTCCGCCGCTATATGCCGGTCATACCTGGAAGCTTCCGAAGCACGCGCCGCCGCCGGGCAGCGTGACGTGGCAGATGTAGAACGAGCGCGCCGCCGCCACCGCCGCTGCCANTAAAGTGGAAATTTACAAAACCTGTGTGGACTTATCTTGATAGAATTCTTAAATGCTAAACTAATCGCAATATTTTCTCAATTAACTATTTAGACGACGAAATTGCCTAACTATTTATGCCTATAACATATTTGTAGTATTACTGGTTAATGATTGTAACGAGTTGAAAAAGTACTGTTTTTGCGCCAAACGGCGTAAACGCTCTTAAAGCATTCTCGATTTTAGCTTTGATTTTGGCAGTAGTACTCTCTTTACTTTTGTTTCATATTTTTGATGCTGTTTTGTGTCGCTGAATAAAATATTTCATTTTCATTATTTTTTTCAGTAATTTATAACACTTTTTTATATGAAATTTTCAGCTGACTCCTTCTAATCGTGAAATTGAATTAATCCCAAAAAGGAACCAAAACAATTTACGAGGTGCGATAACTGGCCTTGAATGAAAGAACTCAATTTCCGGGTGAAGTCAATTTAATAAACTAACTTTTATAAATTGACTGGGAACTGGGTGAGGTGGGTAAGGCCCCTTGAAATAATTCGTTTTCTAGTACCACGCTTTATGTAATAAAATGAAACTATTTCAACTATTACACAAATTACATAACTCCAAACTAAGCAGAGGATTTGTATTTTTAAGGTAGAGCTTTCTATTTTTAAGGTAGAGCTTTCTATTTCGACAATAAAATACATATTATATGCGTTTGAATAAACTCGTATACTGTAAGTAAACGTCCATACCGATCATAAATGCTCAAGCCGATCATACTTTCTAAGTCTGCCCTCAACGGGATTCGAACTTCTTACCCTGCACCGCAGCAAGGTACCAAGTGACTAACTACCTCGCCAACATTAGTTTCTGTAAAGGTTCGGCCAAACCAAAGCGATCACACGCGAGCAGCCGGCGTGATGCGATGGCGACCAGACTTAAATGCATTTATCGCCATCGTGCATCGCTGATCACGTGTGATCGCGTTGGTTTGGCCGAACCTTAACTAGGTCAGCAGCCCACGTTCCCTTATGCAGCATCAATACTTCAAGACGTTCCATGTTCCTAATGCTAGCGATATAATTCAGTTCGCTACTTGCAAACATCTACTAAGGCCCAGTTTTTTGATTCATAGTTAAAATAACAAATTGTTAAATTTTGCTACTAATGGTTAAATATTAACAAAATGTTAACTAATAGTTAAAAAATGTACTAAAAGTCAAGCTAACCATTGTTCGAAAAACATTTTTTTCTGAAATTTAACCACTTGTCACTTGACATCTGTCAAATTTGACTATTGGTTATTTTAACTACGAATCAAAAAACTGGGCCTAAGAAACACTGTTTACGTAGTGTCGGTTCCAACTGTCACCGTCACTCACGCTGGCATCTCGTTTTTTGTGAAAGGGATGGCAATATTCGAAACTTCGGAAAACGTTTTCGGAGTAACCCCCGCTAAGTTCGGGCAGCCCTTTCCGCCCGTGTAGGGTTACCAATTTACCATACCTCAGGATTTTTAGAATTTGTAATGAATAGGTACAGTACATTTTAAAGATAAAATAAAAAAAGTCTTCCATAACTTGAGTAATAAATTGCAAAATATTAAAATTAACACATTTATCCAAGTGGCTATGCGTGAGTATGGTCCCCTGAAATCCTCCGTGTATAAAAGCAATACTAATTCGACTTTTTAAATTTTTCAGTACGTTTTATAGAAACTTCTCAAACTGCAACAAAATCTCACGATTTTTCAATGAAAATCAGGCCTTTTCTCCGGACTTTTGATATTTTCATCTGGTAACCCTAGCCTCGTGACGTCACACGCCTGCTGCACGCCCGGACTGGACACTAACAATTTCAGCAGTGGGTACTCAAGCTCGTGATTCTGAAATCTCGACGGAAAACTTTATGGGTGAAGCTATTTTCGCTGTATTCTCCGAAATAAAATGTACTGTTGCTGCTATTCTTGTTACAGTAGGTATTATGCGGTTTCTACTGTTATAAGTAGGATGTAAGGTTGTTATTTTAGTACTTACATGAAATTAAGTACAGTCGCGGAATGAAAAGGTTCGTCATCTTAGTGTCGGTTTTCGCTTGCACTGGGTACTGTAAAAGTCAAACCTGCCAACATAACCGTGCAAGAAACAGTGCTCTTACATTTAAATAAATATGACGTTTGCTAACGAATAAGGTTTTGCTTGTTTAATTTTCTATCCCATCAGTGCAATGTTACAAAATATAGTTTTTTTTAAAGATAATGGCAGGTTGAACCAACAAGAAAGTTTTAGTTTATCAATCATAATAATCTTCTTGACAAGTTAACTCGTCCAACAACTTTGATCTGACTAATTTTGAACTTTACTGACGAACAGTTAAAGATTATTTTCTCTAACTCGAGATTATTCTGTAACATAGTTTCAAAAGGTAATACCTATGTGCTCGCGATTCGTTGAAGGAATCAATTTGAAAACTGACGAACCTTTTCATTCCGTGACTGTACAATAAAATTAATTTATCTATCAATCTGTCATCATTCATCGTTGAACATGTAGTTGTCGACGTCGTAGCAAAGGATTTGATCAATAAACAGTAATGAAAGCTAGTCGGAGTCAACCGCTACGCTTATAGCAGCATGCCATATTTGGAGCAGTAAACGGATATACCTAGTCGAAAACTTTTCGTAGAGATCTTGACCATACCTGAAGTATCGAAAGCACGCACCCTCGGTTAGTTTGATGTAGCACAAATAATCGTCGTAACACATTTGATTGTCGTAGCATATCGTAGGTAGTTGTCGTAGCACATGTTTTGAGCAGAAAACAGTATGAACGCCGCCGCCTGCGCCGCCACCGCTATTATGTCGGTCATACCTGGAAGCTTCCGAAGCACGCGCCGCCGGGCAGCGTGACGTAGCACACATATGGCGGGTGTGCGGCGGGCACGGACTCGTAGATGACGAGCGCGCCGCCGCCACCGCCGCTGCCACTGCTATATGTCGGTCATACCTGGAAGGTTCCGAAGCACGCGCCGCCGGGCAGCGTGACGTAGCACACATATGGCGGGTGCGCGGCGGGCACGGACTCGTAGATGACGAGCGCGCCGCCGCCACCGCCGCTGTCACCGCTATATGTCGGTCATACCTGGAAGCTACCGAAGCACGCGCCGCCGGGCAGCGTGACGTAGCACACATATGGCGGGTGAGCGGCGGGCACGGACTCGTAGATGCCGCTATATGTCGGTCATACCTGGAAGCTACCGAAGCAAGCACCGCCGGGCAGCGTGACGTAGCAGATGTAGGACGAGCGCGCCGCCGCCACCGCCGCTGCCACCGCTATATGTCGGTCATACCTGGAAGCTTCCGAAGCACGCGCCGCCGGGCAGCGTGACGTAGCACACATATGGCGGGTGCGCGGCGGGCACGGACTCGTAGATGACGAGTGTGCCGCCGCCACCGCCGCTGCCACCGCTATATGTTGGTCATACCTGGAAGCTTCCGAAGCACGCGCCGCCGGGCAGCGTGACATAGCACACATAGGGCGGGTGCGCGGCGGGCACGGACTCGTAGATGACGAGCGCGCCGCCACCGCTATATGTCGGTCATACCTGGAAGCTTCCGAAGCACGCGCCGCCGAGCAGCGTGACGTAGCACATATAATATGGCGGGTGCGCGGCGGGCACAGACTCGTAGATGACGAGCGCGCCGCCGCTATATGTCGGTCATACCTGGAAGCTTCCGAAGCACGCGCCGCCGGGCAGCGTTGACGTAGCAGACATACGGCGGGTGTGCGGCGGGCACGTACTCGTAGATGACGAGCGCACCGCTGCCGCTATATGTCGGTCATACCTGGAAGCTACCGAAGCACGCTCCGCCGGGCAGCGTGACGTAGCACACATATGGCGGGTGCGCGGCGGGCACGGACTCGTAGATGACGAGCGCGCCACCACCGCCGCCTGCGCCGCCGCCGCGCGCTGCCTTCACTTGCCAGAACTCCTGCAGTGCTTCCACCACGTTCACGGTCGACAGCACGCCATCAGCTACGGGACAAATGAGGGATTTAGAACTTGCATCGTTAATCACTAAAATAAGAGTTCTGTATTAACGGTTTTAAACCAATGTAAACTATGCTAATGGTTAGTGCTTCAGGCGTGGAAATAGGCAGGAATCTGACTCCACATTCGGGCCTCTGCTGTTACTGTACACACTATTACGTCAGGTAATTTCTTGAATTTACTAGGTTTTTTTTTTCAAATATAAAGGCTTGCATATTCAATAATCATGTAATTAGAGTCAAATAACACAATGACCTCATCTACTTTAAAATACTACGTTATGTACCTGTGGTTATACTCGTACCGAAAGTACCAAGGTATAATCCCAGTAAACAATAATAGAGTTTACTAGACCCAACCAATAAAAACGTGTAGAAAAGTACAAATCCCCAATTTACCTTTCTGTAAATCAATAGCCATCCTTAAACGCCCCAGACGCCAATTCGTCAGGCTAAATGTAGTAAAACAATGTTGTGTAACAACAAAACCTAAGCCTAACTAGTTTAACCAACAGACTAAACACTGGTAATGATTGCAAGGCAAAAACGTTCGACTGTCGGAGTGGTACCGCCTAAAATGGCGTGCCAGCTCCTCAAGCGACGCACTAATTGCGGAATAGTGGAAAACTGCACTAAATCCATTAGCCCCGCGTTATAGAACAGATACAGCTGATTAATCGTCAACCGTTTTCACACGGCCGTCAAGATGAGAGCTGCCACAGTAAGTGCATAGAGTAGGCTCGGTGGACATTTCACTTCACGTTGTATCTACCACTTGCCTTGAATCCTATAAGGCAGTATAAACAGTAAATGCCTAGCCAAAAAGTTTTGTTTTTTTGACTGACTGACTGACATAGCGATCTATCAACGCACAGCCCAAACCACTGGACGGATCAGGCTGAAATTGGGCATGCAGGTGGATGTTATGACGTAGGCATCCACTAAGAAAGGATTTTACGAAACTCCACCCCTAAGGGGGTAAAACGGGATCCACGCGTACGAAGTCGCGGCCGCTAGATTGAAATAATTAAGCTAGATGTAACTTGTAAATGACCGATCGAGCTTATAAGGAGCCTTTACTAGCCTTTTTTTCAGCGCTTTAAGACAAATGCTGAGAAGAAGCGCCGTAAACTAAACCATGATTATGATGATATATCATGATGATACCATAATTACTAGGTTTGGCAACTAAGTGAGGACGTACTGGAACTACGTCTATTATGTTACGGCTTGCTTGGGTGAAATCAGATGCGATACAATGACTGAAGGATGGGAACAATAAGGAGGAAAGGTTACTAGCACAGGTTTTCCATATTATTAAATATGTAAAGCTTTCCACGTACGGTATATTTAGAAATTGCATGTTATTTGCTGATAATTTCATAAGAATTACTCATTAATTTGTAAGAGCGTAGAGTGGTACCAGATACGAGTAATTAGTATATTAATTAGTACGTTCTTTTATAAACTCTCCACCAAAAATGGAGCAGACTTATGAGCTCATTATATGGACTATGGTCCAGCATTGGACTGTAAAGCGCTGACGATGATGATAATTCCATTGATTTTACATCATTAAAATCACAAAATATATTTTTAATGTTGTGAAGAACATCAATCACCTTAAATTTCATGACACCTACTCCTAAATTACAAGAAAGTACTATGCTTCTTTTTAATTGTCCATTCCAGTGAAAAATGCCTCATCGTCATCTCAATGGATGTAATTTGAATTCTCCTTAGTACTAGAAGGAATGCGCTATATTACCTGATGCTTAACTTCGAGGGAAACGTTTCAGTCTTAGATTAAGGCTATTGCGTAGGAAATATCATGCTTATAATATAACTAGCGGCCGCCCGCGACTTCGTACGCGTTGATATTGTTTTTGGAGTTTCGTGAAAGCCTTTCTTAGCGGATGCCTACGTAATAAAATCTACTTTCAGCCCGATCCGTCCAGTGGTTTGGGCTGCGCGTTGATAGATCACTATGTCAGTTAGTCAGTCAGTCCTTTGAGTTTGACCTTTGAGTTATATATTTTGACTATACTTAGCGGCCGTCCGCGACTTCGTACGCGTAGGTACGAGTAGATCCCGTTTTACCTCCTTAGGGGTGGAGTTTCGTAAAACCCTTTCTTAGCGGATGCCTATTGCCTACGTCATAACATCTACCTGCATGCCAAATTTCAGCCCGATCCTTCCAGTGCTTCGGGCTGTGCGTTGATAGATCACTATGCCAGTCAGTCAGTCAGTCACCTTTGAGTTATATATGTATATTTAGATTGTAATAGATGCTATTACACAGCAAAAATAAAGCTATTGTACACATAAACCTCAAAATTACAATTAATAGAACAACGCCAGGTACAGCTTAATTGCCTATGTTACCTTTTCTGAACTTTCGCATTGTGAAAAACCATTATGTTTTACAATTTTTTTCTATTTTGACTTGATTGTATTATCTACATAATGTTGTATGAATTTCTAAACGGCTCTCAGGAAAAGTTGTTGTATTTGAGCAGCAAAATTAAACTATTAAACACGGAATAAAGTAAATCTAGAGTACGATAACCAGCGTTAGCCTACTATCGCGCAATAAATTACCGTTCAAGACGTAAACTAATTACCGAGTCTAGACTTTAAGCCGTTTACGCTGCATTTTAGCAACTCAGTACAAATAAGAGCTGTTTTTCAACGATTCAAAACGCTATTTCAAATGCTTAAGAAATTGTTTCGGATTAACATAACTTTGTGTTAAGCAAAATTACGGACTAAGCCTTTTAAGTAAGCCGGATTATTAGAGGTTACCTATTAAAGCAAAGTTTGAACACTTCGTACCGACCATTTCTCCTAATAGAGCCATAAGCGGACCGCGATTAACATTTTATACGCAATGTTTATACCCCACATTTCCAATTAAATGGCAAAAACCGTACGCTCGATACAAGATTAAGTTTCCAGGCCCAAAAGTGTTAAGTTATTTTAATTTATTGCAAATTATAGTTGATTAGCATAACTAATGGACGAACAGGGCGATTCGCCCACGGCCTGTCTTAGTTATTGAAAGCCTACACTTGTGGCCAAAGTTAATGCCCTACTGTTGAGCAAAAACCTCTCTCATTAACACTATAAATCAAGCAATCAATTATAATAATGAGTCTGTTTATAATGAGCACGCTTGCAATTTAAGTATTTATTTTAAATTACGCTCTACAACCCGCGGCATTTAATATTACTATTTTAGCAATGAATTGTACGAGTATAATCGTCACACACCAGAGTAATACATTAAAATCGCAAAATAACACACAAATCATAGTGATGTGCTGTCATCCGTGCCACAGAATAATAATAAGCACTACGTCCGCGCTTCATTCGTAAAAATACTTCATGTAACATGAAAATTATTTTAGTGTGTAATGTTAATAACTGAATGAAATTCTGAATGCTTTTGTACTGAAATAATGGATCAATGAGCACACAACATTGTTAGCTCATACATATAAGGTACATTGAGATTATAAGTTAATAAAGTTGATTTTTCGACCCGCCGGTGTTAACGGTCCATTTGATGTTCGCGGAAGCTTGAAAAGGTCTTCACAAGGTACAGTCCAACCCTAATTTGGGTTCATTATAAGGTTGAATATCGCAGAACAAATGTGTACCATGGGAACAAAAAAGTTTGTACGAGTATAGGTGAGCCCACTCGTAACACAAGCTTATTTAGCTTAATACGAGGGGCTAACGGGAATATTAGTAATATTGTGCAATATAAATTGCTAATAATCTTTAAAAAAAAATAGTGATATTATTGGCATCGTGTTGGGAACTAATGGTGCTAGGTGCTGCTGCTCTAAGATTTGGAGTTTTCTACTTCATTGTCTAACCCTAACTTATAAAATTTACAAAAATCATTGGTTTTGAACCAATGTTATCTTACTAAAGTTCCGGTGGCATCAACTCTGCCACTTCCAAGTAAAAGCTTAATAAGTTTTACAACTTTTCCTCTTTATTTTTCTTTTTTGGAAATTGGTTTCCGACTATACTAACTTTGATCTTAAAAAGTGTTTAATAGAAAAGCCATTTGGTAAATTCAAATGTGAAAGAGAGAACATTTTACAAACCAATTGGGTAATGATTTAACATTTTACTTTATTAATGGTTTTTAAAAGGCGATGATAATGTAAAACGAAGTAACTCACGGGTGAAATTACCAATTTAATTTTTAAATTATTATTTATTACTTAGTTCTGAAAAGAAATTAAACTTTGATGTGGTATAAGATTTTCATTGCAAAAGTGATTATATACTCAACATCAAATAAACCGCACCTTCCGTGACGCGAACTTTAAAGATTTTCTTCTGACACAATCATGGTGCCCCAACAATATTGGTGTTATTTGAAAGCCCAATAAATATCCATAAAAAAAAACACATTTAATTTCTTAATAAATGATTAACATATACCATAAATGTGACTTGAAAAAATACCTCACTTTGGGCCCACCTATGGGATAAATTAGACAAATTTTTATGGTTATAAAACCAAATAATGATCTCACGTGTCCTCTTTAACAGATGGATAGCGATTAATCCCAACTTAACAGTTTTATAGCCATAAAATTTGGCTCTAGCGTAACTACCTATTTTTTGAAGAAGTGACTCTGGATCCTTCTAAAGACACATTTTTGGGGTAAAAACCTTTCCTTTAATGAAATTAATGAAGGTTAGAACTAGGCTTTTAAATGGTGCCAATATTGGTGGGAATTGGGGATGCATAAGTTTGAAAATGCTTGTCGCGGGAGGTGCGATTTATTTGATGTCGAGTGTAGTTCTTGCAACTCACGAAGGCGAGTGAGCTTTTCTTGTGTGTGTACGTGTACATGCACATAACGTGTAATGTTTGTCAAAACTTTTGAAAAACGAACATTAGCGAGCCACCACACATGTGAAACTCACTCGCCTTCGTGAATTGCAACAACTACAGTA